CTGCCATCGAGGCAAATAACTTGGCGTGGCCCAGCGGAGCCAGAGAGCGCCAGAGGGCGGGGCCGCGCCGCCGGCAGCTGTGCGCTCTCCCAAAAAGTGAATTCGCGCACGAGCAGCGCAGCGCCAGCGAAAGCACGGGGCGGGAAGACGGAGATCCCAACCGTTGGTTTATTCCCGTAATTGCACCGGCTGGCGGGCTCTTTGCGTGCTTTCAATCGGGTAGACAGGTTTGCCAACGTTTCTGGAATCACCGACAAGCGATTCTCTTTTCATTTTTCTCGATTGTAAAGGAATTATGCTCACTTTCCAGTATGGTAGTCCTCTTTCAGTGGTGTTGATTAGCTTTTTTTCTGTCTTAGAACGAGAAAGTGCTTCACATTTGAAAGGAATACAATACACTATTCGCGCAATGTTGAGAAGTGATAAGAAAAATAAGACAGACTAGTCTAAATTCCTATAACATAATTCAAACTGATTTGAAGAGAGAATAAAGGCGTTTTGCACCTAATAAGTGGTATACATGGAACTTATAAACGCCTTGTAGGGCTGTAGGTTTGGTCTTAGGTTTTGGCTGAAAGAGAAATCCTTGGTTTACCTATCCTGAGAGCGAATTGCCACGTTTGTTCAGGGGATCACATTCAAACTTAGCGGGGGACAATTTCACTAACCGATGAGTTGATGTGTGAAACAGACTTCGCTCGAAAAGCACTCTCTGAATAAATATTAAGAATCCTCTTAGGAAAGGTATTTTTTCAGTTTCCATGATTTGAACATTTCAAAGAGTTAAAGTCGTCGGCCCCAATATATGAATTAAATGGGACACTGGCAAGGACAAATTACTCGTGGTACTGTTCAGTGGAAGGCATCAAATTCTCTTGGTGGTGAGGAGATTCTCCGTAACGCATACACACCGTGAATTCGCACCTTATCCCCGTAGGCAGCCGATCTCGTAAGTCCTTCAATGGCGCGTCTGTTTGGTTTGTGGCGTTGGATCTTTTACGCTCTTCCGGCAGCGGGACATCCTCTCCATTTTAAGATTTCAATCATGTTAAATCATCATAAACATCATCACTAATATAGCTTTTTATGAAAATAGTATTTTAACAATTACAAAACAAGCGTGTCACATATTTACCATAAAATATTGTTTACATTCGAGGAAATAATTTACGTTTGTAGGAAGAGGTAGATTCAGTTACTGGAACAGCCTCGGTCACACTGACTCGAGCTCTGATTAAGCATCACCCTGAGTCCGGAAGTTAACCGTTCCGGTTCCGAGAATGTATTCGTTTCGCTTGATGTTATTTTTTATTTGTTTGTTGTTTGTAATTCGTGTCATTAATTTTGTCGATTTGAAACACCAACTCTGAAAGATAATAGTACCACCATAAGCGACCGCTCTACAAACAAAACCTCAGACGCCCCATAGTCCATAGGAGGAGATCCGCAAGGAAGTTCATCGTGAGTACGTTGGCGACACTGGCGAGTCATCTGCCGCGCGGGGCGACGCGTGCGCTCGCTGCCCCGCGCATGCACGCGCACACGTGCGCCCGCACGCATGCACACGGCGGAAAAAAGGCCGGCAAATTACACAGACGGCGCCTCTTCGTGGTCAAACGCGCGGTCGCGCCTGCCGCGTAGTAATTATAGTTAACGACGCGACCGCGCCTGCGGAGCAGCGCTGCGAGCGCCGCGCGCGCGGGAAATGCAAGCTCGACCTCGTTCAAGCCCTCCGCTCATTTGCAGAATCTACGCTTTGCCCTAGCGATATTGAGCGTCGACCTCGTTTCTCGGGGGCGGCTAGAGACGAGGCTTACGCCTTTGGCTGGTGAGCACTGGGGGGACTGTCACTGGGGGGGGGGCGCAAACTAAATTAATAAGTGTGGTCGTAGTGGCTGAATGATGACGGGCTGTGAATGACGATTCACGTAGGAGAAGTTGTGGAGTGAAAAGCCAATCTCAACACAACGTCTTTATGCAAACACTATGCTTCACGCGGGTTTCAAACTCGCAGTATAAGAACGCGGCTTCATCATTAGGCTAGTTTGATCAACTTATTACATCACGAATTTGTTTATTGCAATGTATTGAAAACATAGCGCGGATGGATGCCAAGATTTCGAGCACCACGAAAGGTTGTCCTATTTTTGAGTTCCGTTCATAAACTGTTTCCGAAGTCGATGGGGGGCAACAACAAACCACCAGGCATTTTACAAAACCTTTCATATCCTTTTCTATCCCATAATTGCTTAGTGGTGTAGGATATCAAACCGGATAAAATTTTGACTTTTCAAAAATAAATTAATTAAATACAATGTAACCTCGATGCTCCTACATCAAACCTCCAATCCCTTAATATTTGTTGTTGTTGTTTTTTTATTTCGTTATTCAGTGTTCTAAATTGTTTTATATAGAGGTCTCAGAATAAATATTACACTTTCCAGGGAATGTAGGTAGTTGATGGTATAATGACCTTTTGCTCATGAACTTGTGGTGGGAAACATCGTATGACGAAGATAGACATGTGACATTTTCTTCTTATTGGTACCCAACGTATATTTAATTGGTGTACGCTGATTCGCGAAATATTTTTGACTGTTACAAAACGTGTATCTGCCAAACACCAATAAAAGATTAATTGCTCATCAACAAGGGTAAAATGCCGTAAGTGTATCTTCTTTACAAGAGGTTTCCCAGATATATTCATTGGGAAAAGTGATCAACTTCGACCCCCTACATGTCCGAGAAGTTTGTAACACATTCCATTGCATTTAATAAAAATATTTCTAAAATATGTAAGCGAAGCCGGTAGACAAGACCATTTATTGTTACTTTTCACCATAATTTTAGATACAGTACTGTTTTAATTTCTATAATTTTCCTATTTTGCCTTCGCAGTGCTTTCAAAGTGACAGAGGAACCCGTGAAGAGAGTACAACTGCATAATTGGATTGGTAATGTGATATATGCAGACAGTTGAGGTCAGGAGAAAGTACGGGTTCACTTTGGACTAGATCCTAAACTGGTCTCATTCTCGCGACGATACGCTAGCTGGTTCTCAAAACGTGGAAAGGTGACACAGGAACAGTTGGCAGATAAGTAGGAGTTAATGTAGGAAAATGCAAAACGCGGCGATGTGAGGCGCAGGTCCAACCCACGGCAGAACTCTTCAGGAGGGGAAACGGAAGTGCGCGGGGAAGAGAGGGGAGGGGGACGTCGCGCGGAGACAGGTGACGGCGGTGCGGGACAGCTGCGACTTCCGCTCGCCAACTGCGACCTGTCCCGGCTCCCCGCTCGTCGGGACATTGTCCGCTCAGTCGCCCCACCGCCGCTGTCAAATTATTCCTAACCAGCGTGTAGTTTCGGCAAAGCGGCTCAGGAAAATAATGCAAGCAAATTGGGGTTCTCCGAGTTACGAAACACCGATCTCATGAGTTCTTGAAATGCCATTCCTGCTTCGTACTCGCTGCCTAAACCTCCATTTAAACTTATAAATGATTCTCCTGCGTTGGTACGATACTGTGTGACATGCCACGATTTTTTTTTTAAACGATTTAGTCGATTTTCATAAAACCAATTCAAAAGAAAAATAATGACATTGCTTATTATTTAAATTAATTAGTTGCATAGTCAAGCAAACGTAATTTCATATTTAAATTAATTTCGTCAACAGTCAAGACTAGAATTTCTTTCAAACTCGGTATTATCTACACACAACGCACATTTCCATATATATAGAAAAATGTCCTAAACATTCTCATTTTGGGGAACTCAAGTGTAGGAAGTTACAGTATCTGAAGAATAAAACACAAGAACAATACTATTCGAATAATTATAAATATAATTA